AGGAAAAAAATCTGCAGGTCATCTCAATGCATGAGACATGCAAACGAGCATGGGAGTAAGCGAAGATTTTAAAACTGCTAGCTGTGCAGCATTAGATAAATTAACTTCTGCCCATACTCTACCTTACAGAGAGGGAGTACAAATCTTCCCTTTCATTACTCTTCCTCAAGAGATAGCTTCCATCCTGCCCGTTGGAAAGCAGCAGTGCTTCTGCTGCATGGCGGGTAAGATTATCATGATACCACCTGGAAAGACACAAGGGGTTAAAGCATCATTCGATCAGCTCTTAACTGGCAGCTTCTGAGGCATTATGGAGCTGAGCTAGCGTTAGTTGCAGTCCTTCCTCTTTCTCTGCTACAATTTTGAGTTACCATCCTTCTCACAGGCACACACCGGTTACTCAGAACAATGCCCCTTTCAACAGACTCCTTTCAACATGCTCAGAAAACTATTTTTTTTTTTTTTTTGTTAACTACAAAGTTGCATACGAACGGCTGACAGTTTGCTGAATCTAAAAAACCCTGCAAATTCTACTTGCATGAGCAACAAATTACCCAGGTCTACGCTGACAAGGTGAAAGCAATTTTGGAGGGGGGAGTATGCAGGATCCTTTGTCTATTTTGAGAACCTGTACTTCCTGACATATCTACACGCTTTGGTACACTTCCTCTTTTGGGGCAAACAGGCAACAGTTAAACTCCTCCCAAACTCTGTATTTCCCGCAACTCATCTGCACTGCTGAGATCTGCAATTAAACACATTTGCCTAAGCTTTAAATTTTCATTTGAAGCATAACCTTTTTGGAAGAAGGAACAGAGGAAGGAACCAAAATTAACTGACAGAATTTGAAGTGAAAATTTAGGAAATCTCGCCATTGTTGCTGCTTGGCCATACGTGGCCTGAGCAATGCAAGAAAACATATAAATACCTGCTTCATTTAATTTCAGTTAAAACTAACTTCACTGATTATTTTTTTATAAGAAAAGTTCCACAAGGAATCCACAGAAAAAAATCCTCCAAAGATGATCGCGAAATGTTTATGACTTTGTCTCCATCCAGAACGATTCACACCTGATTTCTTTCAATAGAAATGGATCTCATCAGAAATGATCCTGAGACTGAACACAAAAAAGACCTGCAGCTATAAAAGGCTGGAGTGCCAATCCTGTAAGACATGCTGTGTGCAGATATTACCAATAGTTATATACACACACGAGAACCTCTGGTGCAGAAGGAGGAGGGGATACTGTACCCAGGGCACAGCTCCGCAGGGAGCAAACTTCTCCCCTTGTCTGTATGCAGATTGGTGCCGAGTCTCCTTCCCCTTCCTTTAAACTGTGTGTGCCTGTAGTATTGGGGTCAAAGTCTATTACTGTTTCAGCCAGAGAAATACAGTTTGACTGAAAGCAGAAGTGTGATCACAGCACTTTCCAGCATTTGTATCATGGCAGTCTTTAAACTGAACCAAGGTGTAATTGGATACTCTTTCTCCTTATCTGTTCATCACAAGTTGCCACTAAACTTGGCGTCTCACACAAAGCTTTAACTCTGAATTTAGATGGCTGCCTATTTGAAAGGCCAGCTGGCTGACAAATTGCTTTATGAGAGACTCCAGACTGTTAACCCTGTGGAAGACAAGATCCATGTGAAACTCAATACAGGCAGGGTATTGCTGCTTTGGCTCTAGAGCGTGCTCCATGGACCATCTACACAGTAGAATAAAATAATGAATATTTAAAGATCAAAGTGTCATCCTCTGAAACACCTGTCAGCCAAAATCCACTTTGGGATTAACTGCCCAAGTAAGTAACAGTCAAAGGTCAGATCTGTCCTGATGCGATGAGGATCATATCAGCATGCAGGCTTGGCTGGACCTATAGCTGAGAAGAAAACACTGTTTTGGGTGGAATTTCGTAACATTACTTCTCTCACTTCTGTGCAAAAGAAACATATGTTGAGAAAATCTGTAAGTGGTCATTTTCATAAAGGAGGCGTATCCAGTTTGAGGTCGCTCATAAGTGCGCTGTTACCTTATTTCCAAAAAGTCATTTACTAAGATTTTAAAATAGAAGTCACTTAAGTTTAAAAAGTGTTGCATTTAAATCTATCCTCTCTTTACACATAGAAGGCCAGTGACTAATGAAATTTTACAACTATGCAGAAAAAAATCCCAACAACCAAAACCCAACAACAAAAATCTACCCACTTAATTGGGAAAATAATGTTGTTTTAAAGTGCAGGTTTAAATCTTTGCTGACAAGGTTGCACCAGTCTTCTTGCCTAAATATGCTGCCTCAGAGAAAAATCCCTCAAATGTTACCTTGTTCCTCTTGCTCAGCTTAAAAAGTAGAAGTGGATGTGAGACAGCAATACAGATCTTAGTGCCAAAGCAGCTGTGTTATACATAGCTACTTTTTTTTTTTCCTCCTCCTGACTGTCACAGATGGTTCCATCAGTAACAACTGTCAGGTTACTTGGCTATTCTGCTGTGCTAATAGTCACTTGGAATTTGTTCCAGTTGCATGAACACAGGTAAAATTTAAAAATGCTGTGGAAAATTTAGCATTTGCACACAGACCACCAGGAAGGTAAATAAATACAAACATATGCAAATAGTCTGCTTTCCCAATCAAGCCTGCCTGATGACACAAATACAAGTAAACAGGACTAAAAAGAAACCCAAACAGCCCTGTGGTTAGACACTACTAGGTACACTTCAGTTGAATTTAAGTATTTGTCAGATGGGGAATCCTTCTGTTTATCTTGTTTAGAAAAAAACTTAAAAGTTCTTTGAAATTTGCAGGTAAATCCAAGTGGGACATACAGCTCCTTCAGTAAGACACTGTAAAGGGCAGTCTCCTTTAGCTTAAGTTTTGATTGTCTTTTGAGTGATACCTAGGGGAGGAAACTGTTCACAGAAAGCATAATACTCTATCTACCTTCTTGCCTTCTAAAAACAAGAAATTAAGGAAATCGAAAGGTTTTAAAAACACCCATCTGTCTGAAGCCCTTAGCAAGTCCTCCAAAAAGCTGAACTGTCCTAACTCTTTCATTTTAAACCATGGTGCCCATCTTGCATATTGGATGGTTTCTGAAGGTCCTTCCAAAACTCATCTTTATTTGACCCAACTTACAGAGTCTTGTATTTACTACAAAAAAATCCAGAAATATGCCACGTACTTTGACCCTTGTCAGACTGAAAATCACCATAGCATAGAAATTGCCTGGGGTTCCTGATCCAGATTTCTCTGAGGACACGCAAGAAGAAAAATAGAGGAAAGTCATTCCCTGCTTCAGAGACACTTCTGCTGGGTGCCCTTGGCCTTGCATGCCCTCCTGTCTCAAATGCGTACATACTTCTGGGAGGTTTTTCTTTTCTAATTATTCCATTTCTCTTATAGAGAAATCCTGCATGCTCCCCTTTTTTGGGTTCCTTGTTGCCGATTTGACTAATGATCTCAGTTTCAGAGTTCATAATTACTGTCATTTATTCCTTCTTATTACTTTGACTTTGTCCTAAATTACATTAAATATCTTTATCCCATACATGTAAGCATGTTTGTGTTGTCAGTGTGCGTTGTTGAAGGACCACGCTATTCTTCCCACTCTTTGGAGCAGAAGAGCCTGCTGAGCCCATGAAAGCACGTCTTAAGATGGGCACACAGCCCTAGTGAGATTACCTTTGTTTCTCTTTGGAAAACAAAGCATTTTCAGAAATCAGCCTATTCTTTAGATCAGATTGGATTGGCGACAGCATAGGAAGGGCTTTACTGACATTGCTATTAAGAGGAGGAGGAGAAAGGAATGAGACACGCAGTGACCCAGAGAACTAAAACTCATCAGAGCACACAGCCTGAGGATCTGCCCACCCAGTCACCAGTGGGGTTCCCCCGTGGGGTAAGCTGGTGGGTGCCACAGCACAAGTCGTGTCTACGCTGGATGGCTGTACCACTGCAGCTATGCTAATCATCACAATTCCAGAATAGGACACACTCACATTAAAAATCTCTCTCTTCATTAAGATCTCTGCATAGTTAATGCAGTGACTAGACCTCCCTACACAGTGGCGATGATCAGGAGCATGTAACAGCAATGTTTGGGGTGGGAAACTCCCTTTTCAGGTAAGAACATCATCCTCAAAATGTTAATTTGTTCATTTCTTTAACAACACAAGATGTTTCAAAGAAAAACGTTAAGGAAACTTCATTTCTATGTCCCTTGCAGATCAGATAGTCCTTAGGTATGGCATCATATTTCTGGTAATGCTGTTGACAAAGAAACCATATAGATATTTTGCGAAACATTTCTGCCTGTGTAAAGAGGGGCTGGTGAATAAACCTGTAGCTGGCATCAGGTGGATCAACTTTTTAACAATACTGGAATACACAAGGAACACAAACACTCATCCATGGTTAACCCATGAATGAATGTTGAGTGACTTGGATAATTCTCTTCTCAGCCATTTCCATGTGTGAACTGTGTAACAACCAGTAGAAACACTCGCTTTTCTTCCTCATAAAAATGAAAGATAGCTAATGCCAGAAGAGAGCACAGCTAGAAGTTCTGACTGCCGTTTGTTTTTAGTGTCTGGAGTGATAACTCTGGGGTATGCCCAGCTATCACATAAATGCAGTAAGCAGAGGTCACGCTTATTTTTTGTGTCCATACCAGATTATGTTCTCAGATAGTTATAGCCTGGGTAGAGTTAGAAACTGTGTACATCTTTGACTTGTTTTGTAAAGACTCGGGCAATTCGAAGTTCCTTCTCTGAAGCAGGAAGGAGATTCTCGGTATTCAGCTGGGCGATCTCTCTGCTCCCTTCCCAGAA